GAGAGTTTGTTTCAAATACAACCTGTCGCATTTGTACAACCAATGCAACCCAATAAATTGAGATATTTATGAAAATGACGAGAGTTCATTTATTATGATTTGAATATTTATGAAAGATAAATATGGTTCATTAATTATGATCAATACTTTATATTAAGAAATAATCAAAACTTCTATGAAATCACATATTAATCAAATGAAATGGACGATTGAGATTGGATTGTATTGGTTACACAAATGTCAAAGGTTGTATAATAACCAACTTCTCTCTCTCTCTCTCTCTCTCAATATATATATATATATATATAGGGTTGGGTTTACGTGAGAACAAGAGTTTTTCATGAGATCCGTAAGACCAATTTATGTTCATTGATCAACTTTATAAGCTAACAATCTAATGATCTAAAGTTGTACGGTGACAATTTTGTGATTATTGAGAAGTCTTGTGACAATTTTGTGATTATTAATGTTGAGATTGTAGATCTAATCCAAGGGTTGAGAATTGGTTTTACGGGTCTCATGGAAAACTCTTTGTCTCACATGATCTCAAGTCTCTCTCTCTCTCTCTCTATATATATATATATATATATATATATATAGCTCTAATAAAATGAGAACTAATTAGTTTATGTAACCGTGAGGTCCACTCTCAACCACGAATCAATAGATAAATTAAACAATTTATTATTTTGGTAATTTTGAATTAAAATTTTGATGCAGAGACATTTTAGGTATTTTAAAACTCTTCTCTCTCCTCTATTTTCTCTTCGTCCCCCGTCATCCGGTGATATTACAGTCGTATTACAATGCATCTTATATGTGTTTGAGTATCACACTGAGATCGTTTGTATGATCGATCGGAAATATAACACAGTGATATTACAATGCATCTTATATGTACTTAGTATCACACTGTGTCTTTTGTTTACTGTTGATTTACATGTGAATGAATATATAAAACCAAATGCAAAATGCAAAGAACAACTAAAAACACACAACTAACAAATTTGATAACATTTCTATTTCATTGTTCATTCACATATGAATGAACACATAAAACTAGAAGCATATAATACTTCAAAAACACAAACAAATTTAATATATTATAGAAAAGAAGGATAGCTTATAATTTTTTTTTCATAAAGATAAAAAAAAAAGTTGCTACATTCATAAATATGAGAAAAAAAAAGCAGAAAGAATGATTCTACACACCTTTCAGATATAAACTCAAAACTCTTTCTGATTTATGCTCACAAATTTGATCAGATAGTTACTGGGCATCTTGAAATTTCACAATTCCAACAAATCTAAGATATTGTATCATTGATCAGTTAGTTAAGAAGATGAAACAACTTAAAACTAATAGACGAAATTGAGAAATAGCAAATTATGAGTACAACAACAGTAACTCTCCTTTCAAAATTACGGTACGTACGTTGTGTTGTTTCCTTATCAGACCCATTTATTAGGTATTAAAAACATGATGGTGAAATGCCTGGCTCTGACCCGAACCAACCCAACACCATCTCAGACCATGGTCGCTCGGTGCATGCATAAGATATATAGGTCCAAACAATCAATTTAATTTGACAAATTCAGTTACACGATCATCTTTTCTCTGTAACTCGAAAGCAACCTTGTCCAAACCAAATTGGAAATCGATCTTGTTTAACAAATTTAATGCTTTTATTAAGACACTACATGGGAGTCGGAGTCTCTTCTGTAATGATGTTAATATTATTCACTCTGTAATTTTCCATCAAACAGAGGAATCTGTCAGTTTTCTCAAGAGGTTTCAGACCCGACTTGTTGGTGCTTTTAGGTCTCAACAGGTTGGTGTAAATTATGATGAAACCTTTAGCCCAGTGGTAAAGCCAACAACCATTCAGATATTTTTGATTTCTCGACATAGCTTTGTCCAAATCATGGTCCATTCATCAGCCACGTGGTAAAAACACATTATTGCACGACCATCTTCATGAACTCGTTTAGATGCATTAACAATATGTTTCAGGGATCGTATCCACCCAAATCAAGTGTGTTTGTTCAAAATCCTTATATGGCCTAAACAGGCCCCTTGTGTCTCATATAAAAGGCTTGTTGACTTTGTCTCTACTATTAGTTTTTCATATTGCAAATCTGATCACTCATTGTTCATTTATTGTAACGGAAATGACACGGCATACATTTTTTTTATGCTTATGACATAATTCTCAAACTCTCGTGTTACTACCAGCTTATGAGTTTGATATGGATTTCAGTCCACTGAATTACTTTTTGTGGGCATCATTATTACACAAAATGCAGGTTGTTTATTTATCTGTCAAAAAAAATCTATAGAAGATCACTGATCGTGTTGGGATGATCGTTTACAAACCTTCGCCCACACCTATAAGCACCAAGTCAAAATGGTTCTCCTCTTCAAGATCTCCCTATGAAGATCCAACGAAGTTTAGCAAGTGCATTGCAATATCTTACATTCACGAGACCAAAATATATATGATATGCATCGCAACAGGCGTGTTTACATGCATGACCCGAAGAATGAACACATGACTGCTCTCAAACGCATATTGTGGTACGCTTATGGCGCTCTTGACTATATGACCTACATCTTTATAAGTCTTCAGTTCATAGTTTCGTCTTTGATTATGAACGCGGCGAGTGTCCGATACCAGACGACCTCTGGATATGGTGTCTTCCTTGGTGACATTTTGATCTATTGGTTCCCTAAACAACCACCAACTCTTTCTCAGTCTAGTACTGAGTCTGAAGTCAAATACATACAATTAGTTAATACTGTCTCTTCTGAGTCCTGTTGAATACAGAATCTTTGCTCGAAACTACATACAGGTAGTCACGTCGCTCGCACACCTTTACATTGACTGTTAGTGTAAAATCACATGTGATTTTGCACACGATTTGACCATTTTTGTATTATTTTATGTAGTTATTGTTCTCGTTTGAACCTCTCTCTATGTATAATTATGTATTTTAACAAGTATAATAATTAATTTATAATAAAATTACAAATACGATAAGACAAAGACAAAAACAAGCAAGCAAAAAAATACTCTCAAAAGCTATTATGTAAATATATACATGAAAATTGATCAACATTGTTTTTTTACGTATAATGACAAGATTACCCCCAAAGACTAATAATACATATAAAATACAGAAACCCATGCATACATCAGTGTTTGCCTTGTTCACTGTCTTCTTTTATGGTCATCTCCACCCCTTCCGCCGTGCTAAAATGCGCCTCTCCGCTGGCTATGGTGGATGTGGAGTCCAATCCTGACCCTGCTTGGATCTCTTTAAACATCGTCATCACCTGAATCATCGTCGGCCGCCGCCATGGCCGGTCATCAAGGCACGCACACGCCACCTTCAGGTGCTGTAACAGCTCGATCTCCAAGCTCGGATCTTCCCGCAACAACTCTCGATCGAACACATCGCTTATCCGCATCTTAGCGTGTTGGTTCACCCACCCGACAAGATTGCTGTCGCCGAAATCAGGCGAGTCGGTTGGTTGTTTTCCGGTCAAGAGCTCGAGAAGCACCACGCCGTAGCTGTAAACGTCGCCTTTTGTCGAGCACCGGAAACTCTGGTAGTATTCTGGCGGAACATAGCCTGGCGTTCCAGCTAACGTGCTAACGCTCAAATGCGTATCCATCGCGCTCATGTGTCTCGCCATCCCGAAATCCGACACCCGTGCTTCGAGATTTTCGTCGAGTAAGACGTTGCTCGATTTCATATCCCGGTGGATGATATGCGGAATGCAGTTGTGATGAAGGAACGCTAATCCTCGGGCCGACCCGATTGCGATCTTCCGTCTCGTGGCCCAGTTTAGTTTGATCCCGCCTTTCTTTCGGTCGTGTAAAACGTCTTCCAAACTTCCGAATTTCATATACTCGTAAACCAGTAATCGTTCGTCCCCGACTTTACAGTATCCGAGCAACGGTACCAGGTTTCGGTGCTTTACTTTCCCAATCGTTTCCATTTCAGCCATGAATTCCCGATCGCCCTGCCCGCTGACGTGGATTAGTTTCTTTATAGCAACGACCGTGTTGTCTTTCAACTGGGCTCGATAAACGTCGCCAAATCCACCGGATCCGATAAGACTGTTGTTATCAAACCCGTTTGTGGCTTCGAGGAGATCGGCAAAAGTGAGCTTTCTTAGCGGTTTTTCGAAGGCGGCAAGGCTTATGCTTAAAGCCTCACGAGTGCTCGTTAGTTTCCAAGCGCTGCTTGCATGGCCACCACCGGAATACGAATTACCGCCACCATCGACATAGGCTTCGAGGGCGGTAGCCGCCTTCTTCCGCCTCCTTTTCCTCATCTCCACCAAAATTATGATCACTCCGAATATGCAAAATAGAGAAAACAACAATCCCATCGCCACACTTCCTGCAAGCGACGCTTCTCGTCGATTCGACTGTTTATGGCTGTTTGATCTACCGTTCAGATCTTTTGGACACAACGGAAGAGGGTACCCGCATAGCCCGGAATTATTCGAGAATCTGTTTGCCGGAAACGTGTCGAACGGAGCAGATTCCGGGATGGTACCCGACAAATTATTGAACGATAAGTCCGCATCTCCAAGAGAAAGACTGGTTAATGAGTTCGGGATCGAGCCATTCAATCTGTTATGCGACAAATCGAGAATGGCTGCATTCTTTAGACCGCTAAGTTCTTCAGGAATCGGTCCCGAAAGATCGTTATGTCCTAAATTCAAAATGTTGAGATAGTACATCGATCCGAGCTCTTTCGGAATACCACCCTCCAACTTATTGTTCGAAAGATCGAAGAAGATCATCGAACCGTTATGATTGAAATTCGGCTGAGTAACCCCCAAGTATAATCTCGTAAAATTACACGGGTGTCTTGACGAAATCCGATCCAAATCCTCTAGCCTGATCCCCCCAAACTCGAGCAAATTTCCTGCACCGTGACACTGGTTACTCCCATCGTTCTTGATGTATATAAACGGCTTTCCCGTAAGGTAACCGGCGGCAATGAATCCAGATTGCTTAAAAAGATCCGGTGGGATGGTCCCATTTAACTGATTGGTGTTCAGATCCAACCAAACCAAACTCTTACAATTCCCAAGCTCCGCCGGAATATTGCCGGAAAATGAGTTGTTCCCAAGCTTAAGAATGGCGAGATTCGGTAAACGACCAAGGGTGGCCGGAATTTCGCCGGTAAATTTGTTGTTGGAAAGGGAAATCCAATTCAAATTGGTACAGTTGCTTAAACTAGCTGGGATTGAACCAGTTAAGTAATTGAAATCAAGAATCAAATTCTCAAGAGTTTTAATGTACATAAGCTCTTCTGGGATTTCACCGTTTAACAGATTCATCCATATGATCAAATCTTGAAGTTTTGATAGATAACGGAAACTTGAAGGGATTTTTCCGGTGAGAGAATTGAAGCTGAGATCAAGTGAAACTAACTGAGAACAATTGCTAAGATTTGAAGGAATAGGACCAGTAAGTCGATTGTTTTGAAGGTACAACACCTTTAAGCGTGACGTACTACTACAGAGTCCAGAAGGAATTCCGCCGGAAATCTGATTAGAACTCACGTCGAACCTCTCCAGATTGGTCATTTCCGACAAAGATTCCGGCAACTCGCCGACGAAGTTATTGAAAGCCAGCACCAAAGTCTTCAAGCTGCTCAAATTCAAAAGGGTGTCCATGGGTAAGACGCCGGAGAAATTATTCCGGGAGATATCAAACGACTGAAGAGACGAACACGATTTCAAGCTCTCAGGGACACCGCCGGAGATATTGTTGCCGGAAACATTGAACTCCATGAGCTCACCACACCCATCTGAAATTATCCACGGAACAAGCTCCGACCCAGAAACCCGGTTGTAGGACAGATCAAGAACCTGCAAAGAAATCCCAATAGGCTCCAACCCACCATTAAACTCCATCGAGTTTCTTGAAAGATGGACAGATTTCAGCTCAGAACAAACAGACAAGGATGAAACATCGGAAACCGAACCCGAGATCCGGTTTCCACTCAGATCTAAAGAAGTAAGAGCTTTACTACACTGAGATCTGGAACCGGAAGCAAAAGAGATAACACCGGTGAGATTAGAGTTCTTAGCAGCAAAGGATTCAAGAGAAGGAAGAGTCAACAAGTATGAAGAAACCAAACCAAAATCACAGCTCAAATCAGTATTACTCAGATCTATGGAGGCAACCGAGGAGTCTTTGCAAGAAACGCCAGTGAAATTACAAGGGTGGTTCCCAGACAACCAATCTGGTAAAAGATTAGGGATTTTAAGAGAAGATTTGAAGGACAAGAGGTGTTGAGCTTGAGCATCGCCATTAACAGAAGCTAAAGAAGGAAAGAAAGCAAGAAAGACAAGAAACTGATTAAAGGTAATGGGATTCATGATGGAATATGAAATGGAAGATGATGATGTTATCTTAGCTTTTTTCAGGAGATTATCAATAACTGATTAGCTTTCATCATTCGAGAGAGTTGAGAGAGAGAGAGAGAGAGAGAAAGTGAGATTGGGGTTTTAGAGAGAGAGAGAGACAGCTGTTTTTGGTCACATGGCATGTGACCCATCTTCACTGTTAGTTTACCTGGAGATAGATGCACAAGGGGGAAGAGAAGGAAGGAAACAAGGAAGGAAGGATGGATATTGAATTCTCTCTTTTCTTTTTTATTTAATAATAAATAAATAAATAAAAGTGAGAAGGAGGAGTGTGTTTGTCTCTTCTTTTCTTTCTGTGTGTCTGCGTACGTGTGATTAACGATGGATCCATCACTGTCTTTTTTAATCAGATTCCATCCCACCTTTACCTTTATAAATCCTGATAAATCAATGAAATTGACTTACGAGCTGTTTATCAAACAGTTATTCGGTTAGTGTTTATCGGTAAAATTTAATACTATTAATTATTTATCGGGTAAAATTTTAGTTCATCAAAACGACATTGTATACAATAATTCATCCGGTAAGCGCTTACTATGGTAAGAGTCGATCGCCCTCACTTACCGGGTAAGATTCATGGTTCTTGTGTCGCTCTTACCAGGTAAGATTCTTAGTTCTTATCATATTCATCCGGTGAGGTAAAATTTAACACTATTAATTACTTACCGAGTAAGATTTTAGTTCATCAAAACGACATTGTATGCAACAATTCACCCGGTAAGCGCTTACCATGGTAAGAGTCGATCGCCCTCACTGACCGGGTAAGACTCATGGTTCTTGTGTCGTTCTTACTGGGTAAGACTCATGGTTCTTGTGTCATTCTTATCGGATAAGATTATTAGTCCTTACCATATTCATCCGGTGAGGTAATGTAACTTGGTAAGCGCTTACCCGAGTAAGTGTTTAGTAAATGGCCCCTTAATACCTTGTAGCTCAGTTGGTAAAAGGGTTGGATGACTTGATTTTACTTAAATACAAGATAGATTACGGGTTCAATTTCCTAGTTACCCTCAACCTGTTAACTTTAGGGGGTGTTTGAGATTGCTTATAAAAATAACTTATTGACTTATTCTTGTATGACACCTATAATAAACACTTTTGCTTATAAAAACTTGAGGCTTGACCTTGTCACCATGTCACACCTCATGTCATTTTGAACCTTGCTTATAAAACAATTTTTTTTGGATTTTCATGTGTTTTAAACCAAGGTTTTTTTTTTTTTTTTTTGTATAAAAACTACTATTTTTTGTTTATAAGATTCTCCCATTGTGGATGTTATAAACTAACAATAGCAAATTAAAAGAAACTCATCAGATTGTCATGTTTTATGTGATTAAAGCTTTAGATTTGTTTTAAAATAAATAAAAATGGTCATTTCTAACTAAAATGACTTGTAACCGGCTACAATGATAAAATGACTTTTAAAGCAAAGGAAGAGTTTGTTTGTTTACTTTTTAATAGTTTCATTAAGATGCAACATCTAAATCGTTAAGATGTGAATTTTGTTTGGGAAAAAAAAGTCTGTCTCTTAATGAATTTTGTTTACTTTTTAATAGTTTCATTAAGATGCAACATCTAAATCGTTAAGATGTGAATTTTGTTTGGGAAAAAAAAGTCTGTCTCTTAATGAATTTTGTTTACTTTTTAATAGTTTCATTTTGCACTATATCATGAGAGTCTCTTAATCGTTCTGACCACTTAATCATTTTGCACCAAACCATTCAACAACTGCTAAACAGCCCTGAAATGTTGTGAAAAAAACTTCATGAACTTTCATATTTTGAGTGATCAAGTCTTTAAAAAGGTTTGAAAATAAATAAACCTATACACTTGGTGAAATCAAATAAAATTATCATTCAAACCCTAGAAAACACTTTTACTCTCACAAACCGTAAACACAATCTACCGTGACAAACCGTATAAAAATATGATTGTACGTAAAATTTTCTAATTTTTATCATTTTTTTTTAAACGAATAAATTAACCAACGAATGTTGTTATATTTTTTCTTATAAGAAATGTTGATTTTCTATAATTAATGTGGAGACGAAAAAAATTATTTGTATCTGATTTGGTGGACAAAAATCAGATATTTTATATTAAATCATATTTCGTCTTTAGTGCAACAAATTTCATTATAAATATCAACCTCCTATTTCATTATTTTTCATACATTCTCTTTCATTTCTATTCTCATATATTCTACTTTCACAACCCATAACCCTTCAGCACAATAAACTATCACAGTCCTTAACCCTTCACCCATTAAACACAATTTACCATCACAACTCATCGTCTTTAAACACAAATATGAAATCACATCAAAGTGATGATGTTTTGGTGTATCTTCGAAGTGACGGTTTATTCAAAGAGATAAATGGTGTCTTAGAGTACCTTCCGTTAAGCTCCCCCGTACATGTATTACGTTTGTCTTCGCCAATAACGCATTCTGGTGTCGTTAAACGTGTCACGAAAAAGTAAAATTTACGTGCTCATTTCATTTTATTTTATAAAACAAATTTCTTACAAATATTATATCAGTTAAGCGACAACGATAATGTGATAATGTTCCATAACGCCATTCATCAAAGTTTATCAGAAATGTTGACACTCTTTGTGGTTGACGATGGTGGTTATGGTGGAAATTCATCAAGTGTCGTAATCCATCAAAGTTTACCGGGCGGTCCAAACACTTTTTACCCTGGTGATATTAGCTGTGGAAATCCAAACACACTCTTCCCCGACGATAGTGGTGCAAACCCATATGGTCCAAGCACTTTTTATCCCGGTTGTGGTACTGGTGGAAATCAAAGCATTTTTTTCCCTAGTGGTGGCAGTGGCGGAAATCCAAGCACTTTCTCCCCTGGTGGTGTTGATGGGAATTCATATTTTGAACCAAAAAATACTATTGATCATAACAGTTATTTGGTCAAGATTTAAACATGTCTCCAAGACAGTCTCCCAACTTGTACCTGATCCAGTCTTCAGAACAGTCAAAACCTTTATGGAAGGTAGATGTGGCTGAAGATGTTTTTGTTGCTGCAAAAATTTTGAATATACCCGAAGACGATAACTCCAATGCTGAAAAAATCGAGCCGGTAAGGAATAGTTTTTGAGGTATGTCCGACCCAACACCTTGTCCAGACCCTCTGTGATTTACGAGAACGCGAGAACAACTTATTAACCCCATATTGTGATAACAATTAAAATTAAAAGATTTTTGAAATTGAAATTGAAATTTAAAACGATTCAAAAAAATTTGAGATTCAAAAGGTAATAACGGAAATCAAAATTATACAATTTTAAACACGATCACATTATAATCCTGGAAATTAGAGTTATCCACTTAATTCAACAGTTATCGTTTTGATCATGGTGTGATATATGTGTGATAATCATGTGATATGGTTTCGATCGGTTAGTGTTAGACAATCACAAATTTATCACAACGATTACTCATGGTTTCGATAGGTTATGATTAGGCAATTACACATTTATCACAACGATTACGAGGGAAATCCACTAAACTATTTGGTGTAATATGGGTGTGATAATCATGTGATATCAATATTATAACATCACGTGCACACTTAATTTGATCATTGTTTCGATCGGTTAGGGTTAGACAATCACACATTTATCACAACGATTACTCATGGTTTCGATAGGTTATGTTTACACTCGATTGATTATGGTTTCGATAGGTTATGATAATACAATCACACAATTATTACAAGGGGGAAAAAAAAGTGGAAACGAACGTGAGAAAAGATAATTATAATAAAATAAAAATTATAAAAAATTAATGAATTACATTACTGCCTTTATTAATTTATTTATATTTAATATAAGTTAATTTATTAATTAAAAAAATTTGAGGTTATTGGTTGTTCTCGTGTTCTCGTAAATCACATGGGTTTTCGTTTGAACCTCCACCTATATATACATGTATATATACATATAGATACATATATATACGTACATATATATATACATACATATATATATATATATACATACGTTGATACATATATATATAGATGGATACAATATATATATACATACATACATACATACATACATATATACATACATTTTGTAAAAACACCATATATATACATACATACAAAAATTTATATTTACATACATACATATCTATACAAACCGAAATATATATATATTCAAAAAATTGAGAAATTTTATCGGTTGTTCCATAGTGTTAGGTGATTGTTCCACGTTTTGGGGTGGCGGCAAACAGTGGTCGATGGTGGCAAACGGTGGTGGATGGTGGCGGAAGGTGGTGGATGGCGGCGATGGACGGCGGTAGTTGGCGGCGGAAGATGGTCAGTGTCATGAAACGGTGGTGGATGACGATGGACGGTGAATGGTGGTCGTCGGTCATCGATGGATAGTCGTGAAAGAAGGAGGAAAAGGCTCGGTTTTCTAGAGGTGGGAGGTGGATGTCGGTGGGGATGGTGATTATGGTCCTCCCGACCGCTTATTTATATAAACCGTTACGCAATAAGACAGAATACATCGTCAAATCGGCGTAAATCATAGACATTAAAAGACAAAATAGCGGTCAAACTACGTAAATCAGATATAGTATCTGATTTTTGCCACCCAAATCAGATAAAAATAATTTTTTCGTGTTCACATCATAGTTTTATTTTATAAACTAAAACAATGACATTTGGTCCTAAAAAAGTAAAAAAAAACAGTTTAAATATCGTCTCCTATTTATTAAAAACACTTCTTAATTGTCAAATTGAGTTAGACACTAAAAGACGAAATAACGGTCAAACTACGTAAATCAAATAAAAATAATTTTTTTGTGTCCACAATTATCATGGTCTTATTTTATAAACTAAAATCATGACATTTGATCCTAAAAAGATTTAAAAAAACCGTTTAAATATCGTCTCCTATTTTTTAAAAACACCCCTTAATTGATATAAAAAAGTGAAAAAGTTGGATCGCCCCCGAGAGCGATTGGGTGGCGTGGATCGCCCCCAGGGGTAGATCCCAATATCGAGACAAATAGTGTTGGTTTCCTAAA